TGCAAGAAATTTGGCGACATTGATAGCCGAAGGAAAGGTGAGTGGTATTAAATATTTTTGGATTTAAATAATTTATGATTGTCAATATATCAGGCTCTCTTATTAATCGATCATCCGATCGGAATATTCGGTTAATGATTGTAATTGAAGAAAAATTATTCTAAACTGAAGAAATCATAATTTTTGGAAGAAAATGTTCAGTTCCAAATGTTCGTTTACTATTGTGTTGAAGAGAATTTTCCTATCACCAAGCAAGCTGAATGGTGTGAATATTTCCAGATTCCGAATGGTTTCGCGTTGATTCGTCCACCGGGTCATCACGCGCAAAAGAATGAAGCCAGTGGTTTTTGTGTGTTCAACAATGTTGCACAAGCAGCCGAAGCCGCGTATAATTTTGGGTCGAACAGGTTATTTGAATTCGTTTTATGAATTATAATTGCAAAATTTCATGGTGGTTTTTGATGGGAGCAAAATGATTTATTGGCAATTTGTTTTATTCGTTCGAACTTTCAGAATACTCATCGTAGATTTTGATGTTCATCACGGTCAAGGAATACAACAGTCGTTCTATGAGGACAAACGGTGTGTCACTATTTGAATTTCTCGTGTTTGGAAAATTAAGATTCATTAATGAATAGTTTTGCCTTATTATGAGAAATGAATTCCTTCGATGGAAAAGTCTATCTTGGACTCTTGTTCCATTGAGTTTCTTGTGTTGTTTAAATGAAATCACAATTGCTTATGAAATGGAAAAGCATATGAATAATTTATGTTAGTGTAATTTATGTTGCTCTTGCATAATTCAGCTTAAGTCGAGTATATTCATTTCATTTCTAGAGTGATGTATATCTCAATTCATCGTTATGCGGATGGGAAATTTTGGCCACATCTAGAAGAATCAAATTTCTGTTATGTTGGTGAATATTCAGGAGCAGGTTACAATGTCAATATCCCACTGAATGAGGTGATTTTTGTGAGCATATGTATCGGCTTGTTCAGTTGCATATATATTGGTTTGAGTACACCTCTGCACATCCTTTTAAATGTTCAATTTTTAAAAGTTTTTGATTTGAAATGTCATAAAAATACGTAGTTACTAAATGTTAAAATATGGATTCATTGAGTTATCAATAGACTATATAAGTGGAAGGATTTGTTCATTGTGATTTGGTGATTACTTANAATCCACATTTTGTGTTAGTGGCGGCCGGTTTCGATCCGTGTCTAGGCGATCCTTTGGTAAATTTCGATGTTTGTTTAATATTACTTTTGGAAATTATTAGTTGAAGTTTCATTATTGATTGCATCAGAATTGATCAGATTTTCACTCCAAAAAATTTCTTAATCTCGTTTAGGGTGAAATGAACGTGAGTCCAGACTTGTTTGCGCATTTGGTATATCATCTGAAAGGCTTGGCAACCGGTAAAATACTGTTGTGTTTAGAGGTTTGTTGCTTTAGATTATTGCTGGATGTTTTGACTGAATATTGTTTTATCTGGATGTTTTATATTTAAGTGGCTAAAGACACAGTGGAATAGTTAAGTTCGATATTGTTGTTAATGTGGATTGCAGGGTGGTTATAATTATCATAATACCGCGATATGTGTGGAACGATGTTTGAGAGTTTTATTAGGTGAGGCACCGAATCCTCTGAAGAAACTAGAATCTCCAATGAAAAGGTGAGGTGATGATTTCGTTCCATTCGTCCATAAGT